GATAGAACCGATCGGTTATTATAAACAATCATTAGAGTGCCTCTATAAACAAAATTTGCCATGCTAAACTGTACCGAAACCAGTTTGTAAATTCTCAGGAAGGCAACAAAAACATGCTATATTACCAAAAACGTCAAATATTTCGCTTTGGCTATTTTTGTCTTCTTTCTCAATGTTTTTTATGCTCGACTTCCTCTTTAGACAAGCCGACTTTGTTGTTTTTGTTGCCTTCAATTTGCCAATGATTTATCAATGAGTATTTTTGCGCGTGCAAATTTGTTATCTTAAGAGATTTTTTGAGTTAATGACGACAACAATAGGCAAAGAATAGATAGTGCGGCGGCGATGGCGCAAAGTCTATTTAACTAAAATCGTGTGTCTCTACAGATGTTTTTTTGTTTCCACTCAAAGTGTTTGTTTATTTTATTTTATATACAAATCCAACACGCGTCACTCAGCTAAAGAATACAAGTACTTGCGTGCTTCGGGTTTATTTTTCTTTTCCGAAACTTTCTAAAGCCAAACGAATGCATAATTAAACGCTACTTATCGATTATAAGTTAATGGCTTTAATAAAGAAACAAAGAGGCCTTTTCTTTTAATTGTTAGAAATTAGTGGGTTTAGCAACAAATTAAAAATAATGTTTCGCCTTGCTCCATTTGATAATGATAATTAGATTAGCAAGGGAAACTTTGGGCGCAAGTCAAATTGATAAAAATTTTAAATGACTAATGACATTTGGCTTACCTGGTGCTCAGTTACGTAAGCAAGGTGAGAGTTCTGGTGTCGCCAATTAGAGAACTCAATAGCGGCGTCTATGAATCAGAAAGTCATGTACGATAAATGAGTCAGCGTATACATATTATATGCATATCTCAGGTGTCCCCCTAAAGTCTAAAAGATATATTTCAAGCTTATCTAGTATTGCGAATACGAAGTTGCGCTTATCTTTCAAGTATAACGCAAGTCATAAAGGTCAAATATCGTTTTCTGCGAAACCTCTGTTAAAAAGCATTTATTTATTTATTTTTAATTTGATTTAGGCTGGTAAAGGATATTACCTGCAATTCTTGATCAATAAGATTTGTATTTTACATTGTATTTTCATCCTTTAATATTGTATTATTGTTTATTTTCTTCAGTTAAACCTGTAATGGAAGTGTCGTTAAAAATTCGCTTTCTCGCAGTGGAGTAAAAAAAAAAAAAATAAATCTTTTCAAGTGGCAGCGGTGGGATTCGAACCCACGCCTCCGAGGAGACTGGTGCCTTAAACCAGCGCCTTAGACCGCTCGGCCACGCTACCCACAATAAATGCTTGTCAGAAGCGCTTCTCATCGCAAGTTCCATATTTATAGGGGAAAAAAACAAAACAATTGTCGGAAGTTTATTAAATAGCATTTCAGTTTGTGAATGGAAAATACTAAATATTATAAATAATATAAAAAGCAGCTGGGACTTACACTTGCATAAATAAACTACCTCTATCAAAAGGTTTGTTTTCTCAGTTAACCGAGCGTTTTGCAACCTTTCGACGGGTGCAATCCCCCAGGGGTTCCTCAACCACCACCACCATCATCATCATTATCATTATCATTATATTATAGTCAATGATGCATAACACAGTTGCGACTTTCGTCGAGCGGTTACCGCACTCAATTTTCCATACATTTTCAGTTTTAATGAATTAAGTTTGGCTTGGCTTTGTTCGCCCGTCGGAATTGTTAATGACATTCAATGATTGCGGCTTATGTAGTTGAACTAGGCAGTCATTTCCTGCTTTATCAAATCAGTAGAGATAGCATTTTTTAGAGGCAATCTAATCAGTCATGAACTTGTATCTGCAATTGTACAAATATACGGACCCATTTTCAAGAGCTTCGTAAAGTTCGTTTGAACCAGAATTGAGTTTAGTTGACCTCTGATTCGAATCGCTTGGTCATAAAGAGAAAGCTGAGAACTTAACTTAGCATAGCAATTGAATATAATTTGTTCGAAGTGGGTCAGGCACACAAAATTCTACAAAAACCTCACTTGCTTGTCAGATTTTTATGGCTCGCTCTCGTTCATTTTGTACCAAGTTGACATAACTCTAATTAAAAATAAAAACTTTTTGCGGTCAATTTCAATTGTCAAGCTACGATGACTTGGTTTTCGGGTCGCCTGACATTCACTCACGCATCGCTGTTGAGTTTTTCCTTTATATAACAATATTTTGGACCACCCAGCTAAGACTTTCTCAGCAGTGCCACTTTTTTTTATTTTCTTCGTAAGTTGAGGGTTTTTTTCCATACAATATTCGCATTATTTTAGTCCGATGACGTACATTTCCGCCTGAGTTGAATGTCCTTATGAAATCCTCAGGCTTCCTTTTTTGTTGCGCAAGGCAATCGATGTAAATTTCATGTAGGTTTCCATTACAGTTCCTCCATTGCCATTTTGCCAAAGTCTGCCCAGAAACGAGGGGTGGTTTTCTTTTGGGGCAGGGGAGAAAGCTGTCACCAGCCGATGTAGGTCAGGTCAACGTAGTCGGCTGTGGCATCACGCCACCGGAACAAAGGGCAGCTGGCGTCATGGCGGAACTGGAAAAACATCGACCGGAACAAAAGGGAGTGGCGGTCACAAAGAGATGTACGAAGTAGGGAGTAGAACATGGGATAAGCTAATAAACTAATCATAGTATGCCTAATGAGGTTGGGTAGTATCTTTTAAGGGATAGATAATGGTAAGGGAATTCCCTTATAGTCAGTTGAACTTTAAGTTCATTGTCCAGTATGTTTTGATTTAAATGTAGCTCAAACAAAAACAATCCAATCCTATTTCTAAAAACTTAATACCTCGTCAATTATTAAACTAATTTAATTATGTCTGTATTAGTCATAGTCACTGTTTGTTTTTAAATATCACCTAAGACGGACGTGTTACTAGCCAAACAGTCGTCATTGTCCATTTTATCCATCTAAATCGAAGGCGTGGGTGGCGCCCTCGTGTCTGACGAATTGTTTTGGATCCTAACGAGCCGCACTCACGTCATCTTCTTCTTGGCATTTCTCTAGTGAAGGGACGCTCCTGGCTATAACCTTTAGCATTTGATTGGCTTTATTCATAGTCTGTGACTCAAGTTGGGCTTCAGCCGGGCCCGCCCTTTAACAACACGCTTCTGACGAATGCAAAATAGAAGCCAAGGAAAACGTCCGCATATCGCGTGATTTGCTAACGTTTCAGACCAGACCTCGTTCCATTTGGTTTTGACCCTGTGGGAAGATTTAAATTTAAACGCTCAAAATCAATAATTGAAGGGGAGTTCCACTGATGAAATTAGGTTTGCTAGATTTTGCTTTTCAGCAAACAAAGCCCCTTTCTGTTTTATTTTTCTCAGAATATTTCAATTAAGGTCTTTGAATTTAACGCTTTAAATCAATAATTGAAGGGGAGTTCAACTGATGAAATTATGTTTACTAGATTTTATTTTTCAGCAAACAAAGCCACTTTCTGTTTAAATTATCGCAGAATATTTCAATTAAGTGCTTTGAAAATGTTCTTCATATTTACACAATCTTACCCCAATTGCATTTTGTATGTTTGTACGTGAAGTTGTGAAAATATTTATTCAATTTGCGTCGTCATTTCAACATTTAATTTATGCACAATATTTTTTTGTTTGTTTGATGATAATCAAATATTTTTTCTGCCAGCCACACACAGCTGCCTTGGCGGGTAAATATGTTAACCTTTTTTCCAGTATTTGCAATTGAATCGCATTGTAATAAAATGTTTTTATGGTATTTACTCATTTTATTCTGCGTCATTGGCGAAGAAGGGTGTATATATGATGTGGCTTTAGTTATGAGGCTTAGGGCCCATAATCACAGCAGTTTTGTTTGAGTTTTTCTCCCAACTTGTTCAGTTGCATGAAAAACTGTTTAAAAGTGAAGGGCCAAACAAGTGAACTTTTCATTAGCCATTTGGCTCGTTAGGCAAATGCAGCGAAATGCACGAAACAAGTTCCTTGGGCTGCAGAATTCCTGGAAAGTTCAAGTGTTGAAATGTTCATCTGCGCCGGATGCCCAAACTGGTTTCGTTTGTTTACACGAAAAACCAGTTTCGATGTTTTAGAGGTTCGCTCTCGCACTTGGCTGGCTTGCTTGGTCTTGGGCTCTTAAATCAATCTCGATTACAGAGGCAACTCGAGCATGCCCTTACTGAAAGCCCCCGCCTTCATCTTTAGTTTTATGCATGTCCGGGATGTGGATGTGGAGAAATGTTCAACGGACACGATAAAAATCAAACTGGGACAGCCTTAATAAAAGCTGCCTTAAAAAAAGGGGCTGGCAAAGCGAACAAAAAATTATAATTAAAACCAGTTTTTCGACCACAATCTGTCGGTGGGTCCCGAACTGAAATTCCAAAAACACAAAAAAAAAAACCTAAAAAGCCCAAACAAAAAACTGTAACCACATGCAGTTCACCGATCCATGAACACCAGTCCGCCGGCTGTCCCTATTGTAAATGGTAAATCTACAAACGATAAATCTGACATTTAGAAACACCACTTGGGTTTTAATTACTTAAAATAAAAGCGTCCATAAATTTACACTTATGTTAAAATATAGAGCTTATTTATGAAACATAAATCAACCTAAGATAAACATGACTAACTGCACTCCCAGTTTTTAAATATATTTTAGCAATTAAAAGTTTGAGTGCTGCAACATCTAATCTTTATTATTTATAGCCTTTAAATAATTGAATTCTAAAATCGTATAAAATTAAAAACTTTAATTTGTTGAGCAGCTTTATGTCGACCTTTATGGCGCCATAAATCCTATTAATATACAAAAAATTTAATTTCCTGATTTTGAAGGTCGTGTTAAAAATCCTATATAATTTTTATACCTACAACTTTATTGGCGTTGAATTGCCAACCCATTTATATACAAGCAAATTGTTTAACGTTGTGAATTTTCCCATTTCCCAATTGTTTTCACAAATATTTTTTTCATTCGTTTAACATTTTTGTATATTTGTTTAACCTTTCGTTTTAAGTATGTACACGCCTTAGGAACTACTTAAATGATCGCTGGACTACGAATACATTTTCGGAGGAAAATAAAATGCATTGACAAAGAATACGAAACAGAATCTCTAAACGCTCGAAACTAAGAACAGGGCAGCCATATGTTGTGGATTAGATTTTGTTTGTTACTGGGCTGTTGTGACTCTCATGGCTTTTGCTAGGACTAAATCTAGTCACAGGATGCGGGGGATCAGACATCTAGACGAATTCATAGCCAATGCCAAATTGGAAACCATTCAGTATTTTATCCGTGGTCTGACGTCGCACTGGCACACAATAGTTTAGCTCAATCCGTGCTCTTTCGGCCAGCTTAACCGCCAGTCCCATGCCAAAGGCACTTCGCATGTTTTCTAATAACGACAATTATTAATAAAACAAAGCTATAGATGAGTTAAGGGGCCAACAAACCTGTGCTGAAACTATTGCTGTTGCCAATGTTGTAGAAGAAATGCATTCTAAAGTGACTGGCCAGGTTCTTGAAGACTCCGGCGAAGGGAAGCGGTGCAAAGAGATGAGCGCCTGTGCACCAGAAGGTCTGTGCGCCAATGGGTGTGCCCTCAATCACGGGACCAGCTCCTCCAAATTTAAATCCTCTTAGGGTCAAGGGGCCACCGCAGTAGAACAGCGAGTTAATTGGCAGCTGGGTGGTGTTTTTGGTCTCTTTAACGACGCCAACGCGACCGCAAAACTGTGCCACCAAACCGGCAAACAGTGGCACATTAAATTCTCCGTGGGCAGTGCTGCTGGTGTAGGCGATATTGCCGCCCAAACCGCAGTATTCGTTAACTGATTTCAGCAGCAAACCGCGTGTGGGAAATACGGTGGCATCCCGATTGTCAAAAATCACCGAGTAGCGCAACAAAGAGGCCAACTTGGGTCCACAATGGTCGCGTATGGCGAAGGGCACTGATTTATTGAGTAGGCCCACATCCCTGATGGAGTTTTCATACTGCAGCGAGTGGGTCAACTAAAAGGGGGAAGAAAAATATTATATACCAAGGTCTTTATAAGAATTTTCTTGACTTACATCCACTCCAACCATGGTATGTGCCGAAAAGTCGACATTATAGCCTATGTTGGTGGTTTGAAATGAGCTTATGTCAAATCTATCCGTTTGCCTAAAAATGCTGAAAGATAATCTGTGAACAGTACAAATATTTTAGAATAAAATACGGATAAGAGAAGTACACAAGAGATTCTTACTCAGGACGATTCTCCCTGAAGCGTGTGTGAAAGAAGGGTTTCCAGAACTTCAGTTGTAGATCGTTGGCCCTGGTGCTGCTATAACTGCCCTGCAGTGAGATGCTTTCGCCACGACCCAGAATATTGGGGATGGTCAGCTCCGTGCGCAAGGAGCCCTCGTTCTGGCCAATCTCAGTGCCCGCCGAACCCATAATGCGCGACATTTCGTTGCCCTTGAAGGTCACCTCGTAGCCCTGGGGCGTGGCATCCGCACCACGGCTAATGTCAATGTGCACGCTCACATCCTTGAAGATGCCCAGCTCGTGCAGGTACGACTTGGTGGACATGGCCTCCAGCATGAGATCCTGGAAGTTGTTGGTCTTGAAAAGTCCATCCGCCGCCCGCATCACATAGTCGTTGTGGGTGCGCAGCAAACCGCTGACATTGACGCGATCCACGCGAGTTGAGATCTTGCTCAGGTCGTATTTGGGGTCCTTGGACGCAGCCCCGTCGCGACCCGACTGAGGCATCTTGCTGATTTCGGTGGGCAGGCGTTATTAGCAAATACTGATAAAGGGAAACAATTTAGATTTTATATTGATTTACACTCATATAATAATAACATACTTCAAATTTACTTATAATAAAATATCTTTGATTTGCAGATTGAACTGGAGAATCTCAATAGTGCAACCGATGAGATTAATAAATTAGAAATTGAGCTAGAGGTAAGTCAAAAATGTTACATATTTTTGAGTGGAACTTGGTAATAACTTAGTTTTTTTATTGCTTTAACAGGAGGCCAATTCCACCTTTCGCATTCTGCTGAATGAGTCAACGCGTCGCCTAAAGTTATCCTCCAAGAAATTGGGCAACTGCATTGAAAAGGCTCGACCCTATTATGAAGCTTTGGACAAGGCACGCGAGGCACAAATCGAATGTCAGCAGGCGGCAGTTAAATTTCAACGAGCTAATGGTTAGTATATATCAAATAAATTATAGAAATAAAACCCTGAGTAACTTGAATTTCTATAGAAATCCATGCCGCGGCCAAAGAAACGGTGGCGCTTGCCGAGCAGCGTTTTATGTCCAACTCACACGAATGGCAGTTCGACAATGCCTGGCAGGAGATGCTCAACCATGCCACACAAAAGGTGATGGATGCGGAGACCCAGAAGGCCGACTGTCATGCTGAGCACCAGAGGCGCACACGGCTCTTTCACACGGCCGAGCAAAAGCTGCAGCAGCTGGAGGATCGCTTCCGGCGGAGCATCAACAAGTCGCGGCCGTACTTCGAGGAGAAGCAGGTGTGCCAGGACCAGCTGCAGACGCAGAAGAATCGCATCCAGGAGCTGCAGCAGCAGGTGGCCGGTGCCAAGAGCACCTACTCCACGGCCCTGCGCAATCTGGAGAGGATCAGCGAGGATATACACAGGCAGAGGGGTGATTTTCCCACTCCGCCAGGACCCCGCGAGCCGGGTGTGGGAGCGGAGTTGAACTCGCCGACTTCCAGTGCCTTGCCATCGCTGCCGGACTTCCAGCTGGAGCTGGAGAAGTGCGACTATCCCTCCATAGCGGGCAGCCAGATGTCCTTGGGTGCAAAAGCGCCCCAGGCATCTGTTGAAACTGAAGATGAGGAGGATGCCTGCGACTACGATGAGACGGGAGCAGGCGAACTCAGGGGCGTGGTGGATGAACGCGACTTGGAGGCCTTGCGACAGAAGGTCAAGATCCTGGCAGTGCGCCCCATTGAGGGTGGCGATGGTCAGCAGCAGAATGATGTGTGGGAGCATGAACTGAAGGACACGGTGGACAAACTGGATCATTTGATGATGCTGAAGGAAACGGCCAAGAGGCAGCAAGCAAATCGCTTAAAGTCCACCGAACAGCGACCCGATTCCCTGGGCGCCGAGGCCCTGAAACGCCACTGCGATGTGGTCGAGGTGAAGGTCACCACTTGCGCCACCACCGCCACAGCCAGCTTGCCAGTTACACCTCACCACCAGCTGAATCACCTAGCACCCCCGACGCCCATCAAGAAGCTGCAACAGCAGCTGGCGCCCTTGCCCTCGGTGAACGTGTCCATGCGGGAGTTGCCCCTGTTGGCCAGGCTGTCCAACGAGCTCCTGGATCGCAGCAGTGCTGCCTTCGGAGGAGTGCGCAAGCAGCTTCGCAGGCGCTCCCTGGAATAATGAGCGGCTCGGGGGCAGTGGCGCTTCTCAAAGCCAGCCCCATATCAGATTTGTTTATATTAAATGAAAAGAATTGTAAAACGTTAAACGCCGCATTTAAATGTGCACCACTCTCAATAAGTCTACACCTACATAATATATATATACACACCATCTATTTTCGTATAAATGTTGATTACATTCTAATCTATTGTCTCCGTATTTGTTTCTCACTGTTAATACTATAACTATGTAAATGTTTTGTGATTCGAGAGAGCAAAAAGAAAAGAATTGATTGATATGCAAACAATAAGCAGCTTTAAGTTAATGTTTAAACCTTAAAATAATAAAAACCAGGCAGACTCACTAATTTAAATCAAATGGGCACATGCACTAAATAGTTTAGCCTATAAATACCACAAAAGATGTAACTTTGAATAAAAAACAAGTGTCGAAATGTAACGAATTCAATTAGATAATTAAGTGTGAAACTCTCAAAGAAAAATGTAGTGGAATGAATAATAATGATTTAGAGATTTGGTCGGTGCCCAAGAGTAAGAGAATAAAAGTATTTGGAACACGATAAATAATAATGAATCTTGAAATAATAATAAAAATATAATTCTAATTCAAATGATAAATTGTGTTTTTACGTTGTGGATATGGGTTCTTGTACTATGTTGTTCAATATTTCATGAATAAAGTATTATAGTCTTGTGAAGAACTTCAATAAATTGAGACAAATAAAACTGAGAATCTAAGGGGAGGAGTTTAAAAGCATTTTAAAGATAAAACTTTGGATATTTTGGGTTGGTATGAAGGCACCTTTTAAACTTGGCTAACGAAATCTTATCGTGCGCTTTCAATGATGCAACTGCAGCCGAATGTCTGCAACGTTTATTAAAAACACAAAACTATTGGGTGAGTAGTTCTAAAAATCTCACAATGATGTCATTTTCGCTGCATTCAAACCCAAATCTATAGGGGCAAAACAAAATATTCTGTCCCCAAATTATATAAGTCCGCTTTGGTCTCCAACCGCGGTCAGCTGACCTACCTTTAAATTTGTACTGCCTCTGCAGGTAAGTGTGCACTCGCGAAGTTTTGTATTGTTTGACTAGTGTTTTATAAGAACTACAAAATATATAAACCGGGCGCAAGCACAAATATTTTCAATTACTTTCGACTGAAACGCGTGCGGCACCGAAAATCAACAAGCTGCTTCTTCTTCTACCACAGTGCTGCCAACTGCTGAGGGCTACAAAAAAGCCAGATAAAAATATAAACTTAAAAAAAATCCACAAAACCTCATGTTATATACATTTTTAAATTAACCCCATTTAGGCTTTATCATATTTATTAAATATAAATAGTTGTTTGTCTGTGCAGCACTTTTTCTTTGGATATAACTCATTTAATAAGTTTTATGATTGTAAGCTAGTAGTGACACAGCGGGAAAATAGATAAATGCACATCACTGTTATTCGATAGACCTTTTCAATAGTTGATAGCTCAAGTAAACGGTCACACTGCTTGAGATGGGGGAAATACATGAAACGGCTCATAAATGTTTTAAAACGAGGCGACTGATAATTTAACTAAATTTAAGCCTAAAAACGTAACAAACCAACAAATTGTAGTCAACTGTATAATCCACGTTAAATTGTTAATATCATGCCTCCAGAGGCACGTTTTATTGTAAAACCATAACTTAAGCTAAGCAACTACAACTATCAGCCCTACGTTTTTTTGACTTTGGTGCATCTGATTCCCTTTGACTGAAGCTTTCGCATGATGTCCAGGGTCTCTTGGTTTTTGGTTGGATTTTGTTCGTTCGCGGCATTAACATTCACAAGCGTATTTCCCCGTTTTACATCCACGCCACAAGCTCTCAGTTTATTGAGAATTTTTTGTGTGCCATCCATGGGTTTGCTTTCCAAGACAGGAGTAACATTGGAAAGTACCGCAGGTTTCGGAGAAGTTATGGGAGTTGCAGGTTTCTCAGGAGAAATGGGAGCTACGGGTTGCGGAGATGTTGTGAAAGCTGCAGGTTTCTGAGATCTTATGGAATCTGGAGGTTTCTGAGATTTTTCTGGAGCTGTAGGTTTCTGAGATGTTGTGGGAACTGCAGGTTTCTGATATGTTACCGGAGGAACAGATCTTTGAGAAGTCCTGGGAGGAGGTTTTTGAGATGCCACTTGAGAAGGCAACTGGGATGTCCTCGGAGCAGGTAATTGTGATGTCTTTGCAGCAGGTAATTGTGCAGTCCTCGGAGCTGGTGGTGTTCTGACAGCCGGTAAAATAGATGCATTGCGAGCTTCTGGCGATGAGGGTGTTTTCCTCTTTTTCTCCGGCGACTCTTGCAGACGCTTGAGGTCCTCCATGACATTGGGCACCAAAAATGAGTCAATTTTCATTTTTGCCTTTGGTGGCTGGGGCGAGGGATGGCTAATGCGTGACCTTCGCTGCTGCTGGGCGGTCAGGATGGGCCGGCGGGGAACACTGAGGCTACGCTGGCGTTTGGCGGGCACCTCCTCCATTTCCGGTGGCTCCTCGGTCAGCTGAACTAGATACTCCTTCACCACATTCTCCTTGGATTTGGCTTTGGGCGGGCTTGGTACAGTGGGCTTGGGATCGGTGTACCAGCGCGGATCCTCCAGTTCCAGCTCCCAATCAATAGAGATGTTGGCACTGCTAGAACTCTTCACCGCCTCAATGTCGTAAATGTGGAGCTGCAAAAATTGGTGGTTATTATCGGGATTTCCATGAGGATTCCAAGATAAGCCTGGTTACTATACTACCGAGTTGCCCGAATGGATCCTTACCTCCTGCCTACCGTTCACAAGCCTTGTTTCCCGCTTGGCCTCATCGTATATAAGCGGATCGGCCGGCGTTACTATATGTTTAAGACCCGAACAGTCAGTTAAATGTTTTTCAAACGATTGTAACGTCATAAAGTGGCGTTCGCAGCTGCGGCACAGGATTAAAAGGCGTTTCTGCTCGTCATACAACAGGTCGCCCATGCGTATTGCCTGTATCGACTTTATTTTACGTGTTCCATTCATTTTTTCCAGCAAAATCGCGCCAAGCTGGGTAAAAAGTATTACAAATTCGACAGTTTGTTTTGCTTAGCGTTTGCGTAGTGTGGCCAGGCGGCGGAACTTAAAAGATTCCATTTATTTCTGGTTAGTATTCAATTAAACATAAAAATACTCTTTTTCCACTACATCTAAAGGAGAAAGTGCGCGCGTAGTTTAAAATATGTACAAACTTTTAGAAAAGAGGAAAAAAACGTATGGAATTTAATAAAACTTAAGTTAATAAAAAGCAAATATTATATCAATTGTTATTGATAGTTATCTGGTTCCATTAAAGTTTTAAAATCGTCCCATGAGTAAATGAAAAAGTTCAACAAAAATATGCATTGCATTTACAATTAAAATGTCTAACTATACAAATTTGTATTTCCTACAAAAGGTGGTCAATCCTTATCACTAATTAAGTTCTTCATAAAAGGATGTCATTGTAAAGCACATTTGATTTAGCTTGAATTAAATAAATCAAAAAGTTCTTTAAGGATACCCGCTTTGCAGTTTTTCAATTCATCTGGTGGCAAATACTATTGAAAAGAAAGAACCCAGATTCTTTATTTGCTGTTATTAATATTATCTCTTTTGTTTCTTTTAGATTACCGAATGACTGAAAATGCCTTCTTCGTTATTTTGTTTGAGCTGGCTTTTGTTGCCTTTGATTAACGCCCATGCAATTGAAATTAAATCGCTTGCAAATGATTCGCATGGCAACTAAAAAAATTTGAGAATCAGAAAAATGCCATCGTTTATGCAGCCAGGGGCTGTGCCATTTGTAAACTTGACTCTTTTTTCGACCGACGTGGAGCCATATGCGCGGAACATTGTCTGATTTTGACTCCAGCTCTGATGTCTGTCTAGTGGGTGGAAAAACCTTTAATTTTTTGCCAGTCCCGACACTGGTATATTATAATTTTTTGTAATGTTCCGTGTAACGAGCACGGACCATGTTTCGGACCACGTGCAGCATAATCACCTGCCAGAACGGAGGTGAGTATCGTTGGCATATTCTTGATATTTTTCAACCGGTGCCCCACATTCCACCCATTTTTTTCTGCTATTCTTGGGACTTAAAAACTGAAACTTTAAAGGGGCGCATCGCTTACACCGGGAAATTGAATGGATCTGGGGGGTCCAATTGGATGAAGTTGCCGATGCTGATGAGGCTCCTGCTCCAATAGTGTAGTTTCTCCGCCAGTTGCTATTCCTGCATGCAATTAAGCCAGGGACGAGGAACAACTTGCCACTCTGTGTGTCCCAAAACTGCAAGCTGACCATGCAAATTACGCTGCCTGCACTCATACTTGTACTACAACTACCTCTACCACACACACACGCATTCCTGTCGCCTCGTTTGGGGGTTTTCGGTTGTTTTCGGGGGGTTCCCCGGCGTTTGAGTGATGCACCGAGTAGATTCGTGTCGAGTCGAGTCGGGCGGCCAAGGAGGCAACTAGCTAGCTGGGCCAGCACTACTACTGCCACTGCCACTGCCAAAGCTAAGTTAAATGGACCTGCGGTGCACTCGAGCAGCCAGCACACAAACTACAGTCGATACTCTCTAAATCGGACTTTCTAAGACTTCAAAGTCTCTTGCAAAAAAATTATAAATATATTGTAAAACACTAAACAAATTTAGTTTTAAAATAATTAAGTTAGTTAATTAAATGTTAGATTACTTTTTTTAGAACACCAAATTGCTTACAATCGCAAGTTTAGTCCTTTAATATTAGGTAATTTAAAGCTACTAACCTTAATATCTAAATTCCTGGAAAATAGTTACTGATTAGGAATTCAGTGTTTTAAGTTTTTTTAAAAATGGTTTAAATTGTAGCAATTCCGTGCTTAAAACTTCGCTCTGTTTTTTGGCCTGTATGCTTATTTGGGTTAATGAAAAACAGTTGGCAAAATTCGCCAGCGTGTTAGAGACCTTTGGAAATGATGAAATATTTTAACAGCTTTTACACAAAGTAACCACAATTGGAATCTTGCGTGTGGGTAGGATGTGGTTTGGGTTTGTCAGTCCCTACTGTACTCGGCTACATGCAGATTGAAGTGCAGACCATGTCAAGGTAGCGGCTGCAGCTTTGGCCAGTAGATTAAATTAAACGTGGCAAAGGAGACGGCGCCAGAGGAGGAGCTGCCGCTCCATGGCCAGGAGGAGCTACTGCAGCCATGCAACTGGCAACGGCAACTGGCAACGGCAACGGCAACAACATTAAACGTGTTTACACCATGTCCGACCAGTTGATATGCCAACTGCCCCGACCTGTCCCCACACACTTGCACTCGCACACTGGGATGCGTAGCCAAGCATGAACTGCTCTTGGACAATGAACACATGCCATGGCAGGGCATTTCCACCCTAGCACCATCCTAGCACCACCCTAGCACCACCCTCCCATCCACCCACCACCTCCTCGACTATTGTCCTGCTCTTTGTTTACAGTTTTTCGAGGGGTTTCGCAGGCGAGTGAACTAGCAAAAAAAAAAAAAGCAAGGAATCACAATCACTGCATACTTGCAGGTGCAGCTGCTGTCATAATACAATTGAAAAGCTGGCGCTACAATTGCCACAGTAGTTGTAGTTTTTGCTGTTGCTGTTGCTTTTGCATTGTTGTGTGCTGCGAATTAACCACCCTCTACAATCCCCTGCATCCTAATGTTTTTTTCTACTATTTTCAACATCTTGGCGACCACGTTTTGCCACAAAAGTGCTGCATACTTTCCGCAGTCACAAACCTTCACTTTATATCACAGTAAATGTGTGTGTGCATATATGTATCTGTGTTGAGTTGTGTCGCCATGTGTTAAGTAAGTTCGGACAAGTGGCTTTTCCAGGCATTTTCCAAGCACCTCCGCCCCGACACTTGGCCTGTCACTTAAGCTAAGCATCAAGAAAATGCCATTTTTCATCTAATAACTAAGGCAAAAACATTGATTACGACATACTGCTGACTACTTGGGCTTAATGTTTACGGGCTTTATCAAACGGCCAGAGCTTTTATGGCCTGTACATCCATAGTCAGCTATTAGTCATTTGTAAATATTTTATTGAAGTGCTTCGATTGAAATTCACATTTTCCACAGGTAGACCAGGTATCTAGTCAACTAAATCAAGCATTAGTCAATTTTATCATTTGTGTTCTTCAGGTTAAGAGTATGCTTATTAATGGCTTGTGTCTAATTGGCAGTTTCGTATCTTCTTTCTATTTAATCTTAAATTTAGAATAAGAAATAATATATTATTTATTTTTAACTATTCAAGGATTTATTTTCAATTTAATAATCTGTAAATTTCAATTTGTGAGTAGACTTCAAATGGCTTCCATACACGAGACCTTAGGATGAATAAAAAAAGTGTCACAAAAACTTTGAACACATAAGTAACAAAACTGTGCCAACGAACTTTAACCAAGTTGTTTTAAGTATATAAAATATATATAGAGCAAGAATTTTTTAAATGTAGTTTATATATAAAGTGTATGGTTTGAATAAATATTGATTGTCTTTAAATGAATTGAGAATTCAGGAATAATAAATAATAGCTTGAGAATATTCATGGACCATCATTGCCCCAAAGAGAGATAAGGATAACTTGTTCAGTGTGAGAGATAAACTTTTGCCAGAGTATGTACATTAGAAAGACCATTGTTGAGCTTTCAACTGGCAACCGGTCACCTGCAAGTTGCAAGTGTCACACAGTCACAGTCACATTCACAGTCGTCAGTTTAGCCGCAGGAATCAAAGTCCAAATATTGCGCTCATTTATTGACCGTCGGCAAACACAAGCGAGAAGTCAAATGAAATTGCTATAAACGATGGACCGACCAACTTTCACCGTCCCATCCCCTTTTTCCCATTTCTCTTAAGGACCCCTTATCCACCTTCTATTGATAGAGGGCCATGTGTTTGTGCAGGGGTGGGGAGGGGGAATGGGTTTGCTAAAACGAAAACGAAAACGAGAACGAGAACGGGGAAGACAACTTCCTGGCTTTGGCCCCGGAGTGTGTCTTTCATAGAACTATCGACCAGGTAGGGCACAACAATTGCAGGAGATCGGCAATTTCCTGCTTGCCTCGCAGGCAACTTGATTACAAAGCACAAAAATCAATAGGAAATGCAGTTAAATATTTTGCAAGCCGAAATAATTGCACATCTGAAAGATGGAGGTATGTACCTTTACTTATACCTATACCTATAGAGAGAGTAGCTATACTAGTAGTCGCACAATAAATGCAGCCATCTGTCCGGCATTGTTGGCAGAAATTATTTAATTAAAAGCCGAAACTGAAGTTACTCGGAAAATGTTCCTCAGCTGTAAGCGCAACGGCAAACTTATGGATCATTGCAAACTTTCCTCTCCCCTTTACAATTTATTTTCATTTTCATTTTTGCTTTTTTTTTTTTTTTATCTTGCACCCAAAAAGCTGAGCTGAGCAGGTGAAAAAGTTGGCAAGTCAGCCTTCAACTTGTTAAACAATTTTCGTATATATTTTCGACAAGTTTGCGTCGTAAGTGGTGGTGCGAGTGTGCGGGTGGTTAAAAATCTTAAAGATAGGGCGAAAAAGAAAGAAAACAAATTAAAAAAAAAAAAAACAGCAGCTTCTGCCGGCTTTTGCGTCTGACTAGCTGTCTATCTGCGATTCCTTGCGTTTCCTTGCGTTTCCCTCTGACTGGCAACTTAGCCAGACTATTTTTCTGCCGCTTTGCATGTCAGTGGATTCGGGCTACAAGCCGGTCGAAAAGTTACAACCCATGCCCGTCCGTAACCCCCAATCCCCCCTATCCCAGATCCCGATATTTTACTATCTCACCCCGTCGGCTTTTGTGCGCTCGAGCGCTGAGCACCTCAGCAATATGCAATTGAATTTTGCAAAACTACTCTATCCTCCATCCTGCATCCTCCAGGTGCTTGGACTATACAGATAACACTGCCAAATACCATAAAGTGTGCGCTTAAAGGGTAACGCTATCAATAATAAATAGCCGGTCTAGAAATTCATGCACAAATATCGCCCAAAAGCCAGTGAGTGGCTGG